GACTCCACGGACTCTCTCGTATGCGGCGGTTCAAGTACGTACTTTTTTTCGTACATCTCACATGCCATTGCCTCATATCCTTCCCCCGTCATCTAGATTCACCTCGCCCTTTGCGACACACCCGAATGGACTCACGTCGACAAGTACGGGTTCGACTATGAGGCCTTCTACTGGAACCTCGTCGCTATTCTCGAGGGCGAAGAGGGTCGCCGCATATTGGACACGTACGACATGTATGTCTTTTCGTTGACCGGTCTTTCATACCCTCAGGCTCACGTCCCATAGGTTACTCGCAGGTCCCAAACCTCAGACGGTGCAACTACAGAATGAGGATGCGAATGCAGAGCCTTCGCTGATGCAGCTCATTCAGGAGATCCGCGCGGCCAAGCGTGCTCGCACCGCTTAGTCCTGCCCTAGTAATACATACCTGTATCGTCTACGATGGCCATAGTAGTAGCTACATGATCTATTTTTGCTGTGTGCTAGCTGCATTTGCTGGAATATGGCCGACGAATAGAACCTGACCCCATTCTCGTACGACGCTTGTCGCCTCACCAGGTCTGATGCATACTTACCAGTCTATACCACGGTCGGGTGCGTGCCCAAGGGTTTGTAGTGCTAAGGAACCCTTGTGAGCTCCGACAACTGAGTTCATCTCATAGGTACGTTGGAAGGGCATTCGAGAGTTGCCAACCCATCTCGGTAGTGTGCACCTTGCCAGAGCTTGCGTACACCCGCACAGATTGGCAACATCCTCACGCGTCGGGAGCATCTGCACACGTTGGGACCATTCGTACGTGTGGCGAAACAAACCGTGCCGTGTAAGACCTTACGTTTTCTCCCCCGTATTACGGCGGGTTCGCCCACATGCTCACGACTTGCCAGTAGACTGGCAAGGCATCAAACCCTGTTGATTTCCACCAAGATTGGTGGCACCTTTCGTAAACAGGTTACTTCATAGGTTCCGTACAATAGCTTGCTCATGCGCTTCCCACGAGATGGGACTTGCGTATGTTACAACGCCGTGTAAACGGCTTATAAGTCCGTACAGCCATTTTGCGCTTTCGCTGATGAGGGCGAGGAGGAGAAGGAGTTCGAGAAACAGGTCGAGAAGAACAAGGCGAAGGCGAAGAAGCGCGCGGCCAAGAAGGAGAAAGCCGCAGCTGCTGCTCCCGTGAAACGTGCGTAAACATGTACACGCGCGCGCATTTGACGCGCTGATCATCGTTCTCACAGGTTCGACCCGCACTACACGACAGAAGACGACCACACCCGTTGACGACGAGATGGACGAGGGCGTGTAGCGGCAGAAGGAGTGCAGTCTCATTGAACGCGCCCAACGCATCATACCGATCTCTTGCATCTTATGCTAAGCTCCGCGTGGCACTGTAAAGTGGTCGTCCGCCGGAGATAGGTTTGGTGGAGATGCATTGTATACGTCCTTTCGATGTATTGCCGCTCACTTTCATCTGTGATCATTTCATCTGATACCATTATACATCTATCTGTACCTCCTTCGTGGAGCTCGCATTCTCATTTGTCACATACCCGTCCGCACTCCTAATACTGTCCTCTCGCGTGTGCACGCTGGAGCGCTCATGGTCATGACATGGCAATGATCTGTACAAACCGGCCGTCAATGATCGACTCGCACAACGCGGACTCTACGCACTCGAAATCCAGATTGATAGTCATGTCTTGCGGCCGCTCACTAGATTCGATGTCTCCCAACGGGAATGGCGGTCTTTGCGAGGCAGTCATCCAGCCGACCCAGTCAACGACGCTGACGATAGCCCGCGAATAAGCCACGCGAGCCTCCCTCGAGACGCCGAAGAGACCGAAGATGACGAAGGCCAGAAGGGGCGACGTCCAATGAATGAAGTATGTTTGAGCTACAGTAGAAGAGCCTCCCGCAACGATTTCGGAATAGGTAGCCGCCGTCGGATCCCAGTTTGAGTGCACAGAGGTCCAGCCGCTGTAGAAGGGGAGTGGACCCGATCTTGAAGTCCGGATGACAAAGAGAGTGATCGTCGC